ACAGAAAAGGCTTAATTTCCTGCATGCTTCAAACAAGGGGGAAAATGAAGGGTGAAAAGGGCTAAAAACACTATTTGGCACTCGGGCATAGAAAAGTGTTTCCTTCTCAGCGGTTTAAGATTTCAGTTTATTCTCCTGATGGGATAGCCAAAAGGAATGGGCTCTGCTCTGAATGGTTGTTTTTTTTTAAATAACTGGGAACAACAAGCTGCTGTCCAAGATTTCAGGACACCAAGATGGGCGGCAAGTAAATAAATTGATTTTATATGGCTGCCCACTCACTCTCAGTGACTCTGGATGGCTTACAAATTTAATAAATAAATTCTTCAGACTCAGTCTTGGGCCTACAGGAAGAATCCCAACGGCCCAAAGAACCCACTGCCTACTGCCCCCCTAAGCCTGGCTTGGCTTCACATGTTGGCTGAACCCAGCCAGGATTCTGAAACTCTAGTTTATGCTTTCATTTTGATGCATGCCAATTGGTGTACATTCAAAGTGACAATAAAGTTGTTGTTGTTGCGTGACCCCAAGCAAGTTATGTTTTATTCTGTGGAACAATTGTGATTAAACAGTGGCTTTGTGTAACGCACAAACCAGGCACAGAGGTGTTAGTATCATTTAACACCCATACGTACCGTGTTGTCCTCCTCCAGGATTTGAAAATGCCCTCTTAGGGAGAAGTAGCTGGGCAGTGCCACAAATGTGGCCTTGAATTAAATTCTTCTTGTGAATGGAGTACTAAATTAGACGCTCCCTTGCATTGGCTACAATGCTGTGTAACTTCACTCAGAGCTGCCTTAGGGAATTCACCTCTAAATGATAGGGGCATTTCTCCTTGGGGCTGATTATCTCCACTTTGCAGTAAATGAAAATGGGGCCCCTTTTCTCCCTGCAAAAAAAGGAAAAAAAAAAGCTAAAAATTATTTGAGGAAACAGTGCAGTCGATCTGATGCCTCTTCTCAGAACTGTTGATTGACCTGAAAAAAGACAAAACAGCAATATGGTCTTTTAAGGGAATCTGGAGATTATGATAGAAATCAGAAACTTTGAATTAGTCCTTATCCACTCATGGGGGCGGGCGGGGCTTGCCACTGGGCAATATACTTTATATATCAAAATTCAGCTTTGGGGAGAAATACCTCTTAAGCCATTTCAGCCATTTTAAAATTGTTCAGCCCTGTTCATAACGTAGACCCGAGCCCTGTCCTCAGGGTGGGGAGATAAATGGGAGACCAGGCAGACAACAGGTGAAAACTGGGGGAATTGATTTGATGCCCAAGGAAATGGGGGCGGTATAAATAAATATTTACATCCCGATTGGGCGAGGTTAATTTCGGTGGTGCTGAGGTCACTTGCCCCTTCCCCAGTCTGGATGCCTTGTGGCTCAAAATTTCCAGCTGACGTGGCCAAAAGAGTCGCTGAAGTCTTGATGTTTGGCTGAAATGTACATATGATCATTCCATTGAATGAGTGTTTTTGCAAGCTTCTGTTCAGGCAGCCTTCCCTCTCATTGAGATCTTGCTTGGATGCCCAAGGCAGCATCAGTGTGACCCTGCACAAGGTATGCTGTTGTCTCACAGGGCTTCTTTCCTCTTCCTTCCCTGTTCCTTTCCCTGTTTTCCTTCCAACCTAAGCTAATGAAAGAAGCACAGTGCAAGAGCTATTCGTTTTCCAAATTACTGGGGCGGGCAGGGGCATCCAGAAAACCTTTTGAGGCAGGGCTGAGCAGGACAGGACAGAAATGGTTCTTAGAGCTTTGCCCAGAAAGCCAATGCCCGCGCTTCTGAAGTTGGCACGATCTTTTCTCTGGCCTCTGTTTTAAGTTCCGAAGCCCAGCCTTCTTCCTTCGCCTTCCTCTTTGGTGAGACGGGGAGCTATGTAAATTTTATTAATAAATTCTCTATTTAAAAAAGCGTTCTGTAAGACTGATTGCACGTCCGTGCTTGAGAACGTTTCCATCCAACGTAGATGTCAAAGCAATAATATCCTATATTAACAGCGTGCTGAGATTACAAAAGTTCTCCTGATGTAATGGGCAGGTTGTCAAGAGGGGCTGTTGCTTTGACAGTGGGTCGGGGCAGGTGCTGCAGTCTTTGTAGCATGTTACAACTTGGGGGTTCTGGCATCTCCCATGAAAAGAGGCCGCAGCTGTGTCCGCAGTGCCGCCTACGTGATTTTCTCAAATGTCCGTTGTCCTATATTGCAAGAATATGGGTTGTGGGTGGGTGAAATGGTACCAAAACCAATAATGCACCTCTTTTTTTATAGTATTTCTTTTATACCGCCCCAGACTAACCAACGCTGATTGTCCACAGCAGCAGCAGCTCAGATCCTGATACAGTCTGGGTAGACCCATTGAGATTACTGGAACTAATCTCCGTTGTGCATTACTTTATTCACCTTTGTTTTGCTGCTTGTGTTGTGTAGGATGGAAATCTTGAGTATGGCTCAAAGCAAACTTCAAAGAAGAGACTAGGTCCACTTGTTTATTTTTATTTTTATTTTTTAATAAAAACGAGCTATGGGAGTTGTATTCATTTATAGTTTGTATTTGTTTTGTTGTGAAATGTAAAAAATCTTAGCAAGCAGGTCACGGAGCTTTATTTATAGCATGTGCTTGCAATTTGCGTGCTATATTTATCCAGAGCTCCTTGAGACGATCACAAATGTAGAAATGGAACTATGATCATAAACTGCCGGTAGCTAGTTAGTTTCTTCTTTGCTGTATTATATGAGTGCAGACGGTTGGGTTAACTGGATTACTAAACTCTGGGTATGAGGGCCTTGTGGATGAGAAGGCAATTCTGGAGCCAAGTTGGCTTTGAATGGTTGATACCTTGGCACTTCTTAGGTGAGTATGTTACTCAGTTCAGACACCTTCAAACAGCCTTTTGTTAAGTGGGTAATTAAAGGGTGTTTTTATACTTGGCCTGCAGAACTCAAGACAGTCACCAGGTGGCAGCAAAGAGCTACACAAACCGAACTCTTTCCCACCATCTAGAGTTTGTTTTAAGCAATGCAGTCCAAATAAGGCTAGCAGGCCCCCAGGTAGGAAAAAAGTTTATTCCTGCCTTGAGCAGAGTTAGACTTGCTTGACTAAAATGTTCCATTCTGTTGCTGAAAGCCCGTCTGCTGATGGTTAATTAGGCTTAAAAATTGTCCAACTTTTTAAGTGAAGGGAGGTCATCCCACTAAATGAATACATTTGACTGGAGGCAGCTGTTAGTCAACATATTAACATGGACAGAGATTTGCTGCCTGGGTGAACAGGAACGTGTAAGCTTTATTTAAATTAGAGGTTCTTTTACAGAGCGAAGAGAAGAAAACACTTCTCTCGTACAATTCACATTTCTTTGGTCTTTTCTCAGGAGTCACAACAGCTGAGGAGCTCCTGAGCATACCAAAACTAGGAAGTAGCTTTATAAATTTAATTAGAGAACGCAAGGACCAAGCAAAACACCCATCAAAACGTAACCGTGGCCAGTGGACAATCTAAGTAGGCTAGCCCTCTTCTGCAGTGTTGAGCATGCTAGACACACCACTGCAAATACACATGCAGCCGTGATTTTTTAAACCTGTCATTTGTTAAAGGAGCCATGATGTCAGGCTTGCCTGCAGTTTAATGAATGCACCAAGCCCAAAGCAAGCTACATTATGGCTTCAGCTAATCAGCATCTGTACGGCAAAGCAGGATTATCCTTACAGTTGCAGCTCAGGTGTCTTATTGGAAGCTGGTAGCTGACATTGAGAGTGGAGGAGGGGGGACGTGGAGGGATGGAAGGGCAAATTTGAAAGCTTTTTTGGGGGGGGGGGGCAATCTCTTTGACGCCAGGAACAGTAGGCCAAGCACTTGTAAGAAAGGTGCACTCTATAGGCAGAACTGCTGGGAGTGACAATATTGGGAACTTATTCCCAGCCTAGCTGAAGGACACTCGGTTGGGGAACGAGGTCTTGGGTTTTTTGAGTTGGGGGAGGGGGGAGAAACCAGCATTTAGATCAGCCAGGCTGCAATCCGAGCCGATTGTTCTAAAAGTGGCCTCAAAAGACACTGAAGAAGAGTTGAAAATTGCTTTCCTGTGTACAGCCAGCCCTGAGGTCTGGGTTACGCTTTCTCCTTGCCATTGGACAGAGCTGCCTCATTTGTGTCGAAAGCTCGCCAGCCAGCCACACCGTTTGGTTAGCGTTTACTACGCAACTGATGCTTTTTTGGGTCCCGCCGAGATTCATTAATGCCGTTCCAAAGAGCCCGCTTCCGGCTCCTGGGGAGCGGGGGAGCGCCTTAGGAGACGACAGAGCCAGCCACAAACAAAGAACGCGCTCTCACGCTCTCCTGCCCAATGACTCTGCCGATTTGCTGGCTGATGCTCCAGTTCCTTTCGGTTCCATCCCTTGCTTTTCCCGTGGTTCTGAATAGAGGCAAGCAAAGGGAATGAAATGAACAAAAAAAAGCTGTTCAGATGCCGAACGAAAATAGAGAATCAATCTGCCGCTGGACCGGTGGGGGCTGTGGATTTGCAGTGTTCTTAGAACAAACCTAGAAGGAAATCCTTTGAGTGAACCCGTGGAACGGAGGAAATATTTACCTCTGGCCAGGTTGCTTCATCTCGTCCGCGCTGGGTCAAGCAGCAACAGCTAACCGTAGATAATCTGTGTGTTGAGACCCAGAGGATATGTTTTTATTTCTTTTGTTTTTAAGAATTACATGCCTAAAGTTTGCAGCGAACAGCAGGGGAGGTGGGGCAAATGCTCCTGTTTTGAGAACGAACCAAGATCTTGACTTTCCGTATTTTATCTTGTTGTGACCTTAAGTGGTGTCCGATAGCTGTCGTCAAAGTTCCCCCTTAATGTAAGTTAAAGGACAAGTAGATAACCGTCGGGATTATAAAGCAACACAATCCGCGAGTTGTGGAATTCGGGTTGTGAGTTGTCCAATGTGGTGTCCATCAGCCCAATCCCAACTAATGGCGATCTCTCCCCCCCCTCCCCTTTCTGTTTTCCAGCAAACGTGGTTTCAGCGTCCGATCCTTTGGCACCGGGACTCACGTGAAGCTGCCGGGACCCGCCCCAGACAAGCCCAACGTTTACGATTTCAAAACGACATACGATCAGATGTACAGTGACCTCCTTAGGAAAGACAAAGAACTGTATCCCTGCGGAAGGGGCCTTTCACAGTCGTGCTCTCGGCTCTTTTTCCGAGGCGTCTCTGTGCTCCTTCGCATAAGGAACACGTGGCTACATGACTCTGGCCAAGTCTGGTGATTTCCAGGTCTCAGCAGCAGGTGCTTCACACAGTAGAAAGGGCTCCTAGCGCCACCCCTTAACTGCCACTGAGTAGAGCAGTTGTGCAACAGGTTGGTTAGAGCAAGGGGGACACCGGTGTGTCTCTCTTGGGGTGCGATTGCCTTGCTGTGCCGACGACACTAGGAGCCCCTCGGTCCCTGGAAAGGAAGGGCCTGTCAGTCGTAGCGGTAATAAATTGGGAGACACGGCCTTGAACCCCGAGCCTTTGGGTTGAGCACAACCCTACTTTCACAGTCCTCTCTTTCTGCCTTGGGAGTGCTTCTCTCCGTCAAGTCCCCAAGGCCGAGGCTGTAGCTTTCTGGCTTCCCCACATAAAATCCCAGGCTCATATTTCGGTTCCTTCGTAGGGGGCTGGGATAGATTTTTGTCTAATCCCCCGGGGGGGGGGCTCTTTAGTGCAGGCAGACTGAGCTGAGGCTCCCCGTGGTTCGTGTGTGAGATGACTTTCTGATCTGTTTCTGAGCCTGCTCAGACTCTCTTCGTCCTCGCTTCTCAGATCCTCTTCGCTTTTTCATGCCACCTTCCTCCAGGACCAGCTAGTGAATTGCTTTGCTGTATAGTATAGTCAGGATAGCTGCCTTCCAGTTTCTTTTCTCTCCCTTCCCCCCCGTGTCCTTCAAAAGAACCTGGAGAGAGGTAGAATCCCCATTTGATGTGGGGTGCTGGGGAAGGCCCCTTCCCCAAGCCAGGAGATGGATCGGGACAGGGGCTCCCCTAAGAAGGACGAGCCTTAACTGGATTCAGGGCCGTCTTGAGATTTACATTGGAGCTTTACTTGGGGGCAAAGCTTGGGGCTTTGCTGCAGGTTCTTCTAGGATGCCTAAGTCTTTCAGTCAAGGAAGCAGGTAAGAGTTAAGCCGTGTCATGATCTGGAAGGAAGATCCTGGCTCCATCCTTCTGGAACAGCCGGACAGTGGTTGCCTCTCTTCAGCTCTTGTCCTTCAGTGCAGACATCTTGCGTTCTAGTATCCCGCCCGGCCTTCTATCAAGCACCTTTCAGGGTTGGGGGACCAATAACGGGAGTTTGCTAGGCAGGCAGTCCTTGAGCGTTTTTTTCCAGAATCTCAGCAGACAAAACTTTCCCCAAAAGCTCCTGGTCTTCTGAGGCAGGGAATTTGGCACCCTTAAGATGGCATGCTTGGTCGGAGAAGGGCTTCTTTCTCTCAGTCCCTTCTGCTCAAGTCATGTTGTGTCATTTCAAAACCGAGAAGAGCTTTCATATTCTTTGGAAATAGGCCCCGGGTTGAGAGCTCTGAATGTCCTAGAACAATGATGGCGAACCTTTTAGAGACCGAGTGCCTAAACTGCAACCCAAAACCCACTTATTTTATCGCCGGGTGCCAGTTGGGCGTGGCCCACTGCATGGGCGTGGCTGTGGTATTCATGGCAGATTGGGTGGGTGTGGCCAAGATGGGCGTGATCACCTCGATGGTGCTCGTGCGGAGGGATGCCTGTAGGGGCCAGGCAGGGTTGGGGGAGATCCAGGGGGTCTCTGGCAGGTGGGGCGGTGGGCAGGAGGCTAGTCCTGCGGGGGTGCCACTGTCACAGGGCAAGGTGAGGCAGGGGCCAGGGCGGCTGCTGCCTGACGCCATCGGCCCCTGCACACACAGGCCAGCGAGCGCATGGTGCTGGGATGCATCCGGCCATGTGGGGCCTCGGCAAGTTAGCGGGCAGCTGGTTGAAGAGGGACGGTTGCCATCTCCGGGGCATGGCGCGCGTGCCCACAGAGAGGGCTCTGAGTGCCGCCTCTGGCACGCGTGCCATAGGTTCGCCACCACTGTCCTAGAACTTCCATCTAGGTCTGTTCTATAGCTCAGATCCTTAAAAACTTTTTAAATACCATTGGCCAAGGAGAGAAGAAGGCTTAACGTAGGAAAAAGGCTGCCGTACATCTCTGTAGGGGCTAGCCTGCAACTCCTCTAGAATTTGGAGCCTACAGCTTTCATTGGGTGTGAGGGGTGGGGAATGCTCCCAACAGAAAGCTTTCACCTCCCATCCTCACCTTTATGTGGTTCTTCAGGCCCCAGCTGGCCATAGAGCTCGGGCCGGTAGGGCAGACCCCAAAACAGGTGCTTTTTTGGGGGGGGGGGACTGGCTTCAGTTGAGACTTGCTCTGTGCCTGGCTTCATGAGACCTTTGGAGGGAGGCGTCTGATCCTTGGACACTGTACCAAGCTTGTCTGCTAGGCCGCATTAGTTCTCACTGAATTGATAAGCCTGCCATTTCAGACCAGGAATGGGGTTGGAGGCTCCTGTGATGGATTCCCAGACGGATCTTTTTGACCAAAGACCGCAAGGCCCTCAGAAACAGAAATTGCTACCCTGGGGGGGGAGGGGAGCCAATGCCTGCAGGGGACACAGCGTGCCTGGCTGAGGAATTCTGGGAGTTGAAGTCCACAAGTCATACAAGGGCCAAGTTTGAAGACCCCTGTTTTAGACCTTTTGGGAGCCATTGGAACCAATGGCCTTCACTATGGCTGGATTCCACCATACTGTGATAACCAATCTAATACATATCTGTGTGTGTGTGTGTATGTATGTATATACACATATATATGTATATATGTGTGTGTGTATATACACATACACATATACATAAACATATATGCTTGCACGGCAGACTGACCTTGAGCAATGTGCTTGGCTTCCTAATTAAAAGAAAATTAAATTAAAAAGAAATTTGGAAAAAAAAATCAGATGGGACACGGAGCCTGGAAAGCGCCACCCGGGGCACTAAGAATTTAGCATGTTGTGTGAATGCAGCCATTCTGGTTAGTGGATATGAATTCATCTAAGGAGGGTTGAAGTAAGCCATAGCTTAGCATGTGTGTCCCAGCCTTAACTAAAAAGTGGCCATTTCCAAACAGTCGCACACAAATTTTGGAGGAAATGCTAAACCTTGTCTCCTCCGGTCTTTGCAGGCTACCAATTTCTCTGGACAGCCAGATGTTTCAAGCAAACTTTGGATCAGGGGTCCTGTAGCCATGTGTTTCCTACTGGCATCAAACCTCCTACAATAGGGCGGCTATCTACACATCGTCTCTCCTGATGTGTCTGTCTCTCCCACTGAATGAGGCACAGATAACCTAGCAAAACGGGGAATCTTTTTTCCTTAATGTCCCATGTTTTCCACATTAAGTGTGCTTTGGGCAAGAAGCTGTCTGTCATACAAATTTCCACCAGTAGCCTTGTGTTAAGACCCCCTTGTTGCCTCCAAACTGCAGACTTAACATCTCAGTGAGAACTAGCACACAAAAGCTTTAGAGAAGAAAGGGGGGGGGTCCCCTACGTCCTGGATACAATCGGGCTATACTTCCCCCAAGGTTGCAGGCTCGATAGGACGAGATCCATCATTTCCTCCCATGCCCCTTTAAAATAATGTTAGGTATATTCTGAGGATCTGCTGACGGCCGGCTTCACTCTCGTGAAATGATTTGTTTGTACCGAGCACTCAAACACCATTAAAAAAAAATGCCTTTGCCCCCCCCCCCCCCTGTCCATTCTCTTGGGGTTGCTTTTTGTTTTGGTAGTTCTGCTCTAGAAGGGGCTGTTGAGCACCAAGCAAGGGGGGGGGGGAAGCCATACGGACCAGTTCTAAGGTGTTGCAGAAGACACCTGGAGGGCAGCAACTGCAAAGTCCTGCACTGATGGTCAAATGCTACGGGAGAGACCCTCCTTAAGCTCAGGGTTTGGGGAGGGGGAGCTTGGCTGAATCTGAACAGCCACAAAAATCTCCGAAAGGGGGATGGAGACTGCATCTTGAGTCAATCTGCTTTTAAGATGGAGGACGTTGCTGGAGTAGAAGGCCGCCAACGGAAGCTCTTGGGCATTCTTGGGGCCTGCTACCCTTCTCTGCTTGCTTTCAGACCGACAGTGGGTCCTCCTGAAGGCTGAAGCAGCAGACTCTTGATCCATGGGGAGGAAGAGTCCCCCCCCCCTTCCCCCCATGTGTAAAGGAGTGTTGGCCCCTGCTTTGACTCAAGGGGACCTTCCAGGCCGTGGTGGATAATTTATGGTGAGGGTTTGGCTTCTTTCCCTGCTTCCCCTTCCAGTCCGCGTGGTCAACCAAGAAATCGCCCAGGCTACCCAGACAGGAAGCACCACAGCCAGGACCACTCGAGAGAGTAAGGTAAAAAAAAAGCTGTTTAGAATGCCAAAATGTGTATTCACCCACCCACCCACCAACCCCTGGAAACCAGCACCAAGCAACCCTTCCATTTCCCCCCTCTAGGAAGGCCCTCTGGGTTGACAGAGAAGTCCTGCACTACAGCTGCAAGGGAGGATTTTAGAGAAGGCTGCCCTGATCATTGCTAGTCCTCAGGAATCAACTTGTCTTAAAGAGGATCCTGGGAGGCAAGGTTAGAACAGAGCCCTTTTTTTAAGTTTGAAGGAGAAGTAGACCCTTTTGTGACTGGGGAGTCTGTTTGATTCCCACACAGGATTCTAAAACATGGCACTTCCTTTAAAAGAAAAGAGCAGCGGGGTAAAATCCAAGCATGAAGTATTGAGAGAGGCAAGAAATTAGGAGCTCGGAAAACTTGGAGGAGAGGACCAGGCTGAGCCCGAGGAAGGGAGGGGTCAAACATGTCATCAGTCATGAGTCCCTGCGTGCCCACAAGATATATTTTAAGTCCAGCCCACCTTGAATTCCTTCTTAACTCTCACTAATTTTGTTTGAACATTAGTGGTTCAGATTCTTGTAGAACTGCCCGAATCTCCTGATTTCCCTTGGCGCTTGACACCGCTATTCCTTTGACCACCTTTCGCACAAACCTGTGTCTTATGACAGGCTAGCAGTCAACAAGGAGGAAAGTTGCAAGGAAGATTATGAGGTAGAGTGAGCC